AGATTCTAAATCGACACTACAGAGTATACATCAAGTGTTGTTAACGATTGATAATCACTTATCTATATATTAAGTGTTTATGAAATTTCACAAACATGAAAATGAGAAAAGTCGGAACAAAACTTACTTGATATAAAAGTCGAATTAATTGTCTCACGACAACAGCGGGGTCGCCTGAGATAAATTCACGGAGGAATAAGAATATAAAAAGTCTTCCTCCAATAGTGCTCATAGACTTAAGGTACGAGGTATCGAGCTCTTTGCTTTCTTCTTTTGATTTGACATTCTTCTGCGTTTTATATTTTTCGTTGAGCTTTTCCTTTTTATCCTTTCTATCTTTCTTTTCAAATTTATGTCTTTTCTCCTTATTGCCCTCGTGTTTGCTCCTGGGCTTTTCTGCGTCTTCCGAATCACTTAGTTTGCCCGCCTGTTTGGTCTGGCTGTCGGAGCCGACTTCCTCTATCAACTCGGTAGGCTCAATAGAAGGTTCGTGGTGGCTGGTTTTGGCAGGCGATTCCATAATCCCTTCGCTGAGACCAGAAGTTTCATCCGGTTTTGAAGTGTTGTCATCAAGTGGCATTCGAATATGAGACACAGAAAGCTCTGGTACTGTCGACGTGATCTTATGGGAGATGTCAGGAATAGTTTCAGGATCTCCACTGGTTGAAGCCATTTGAGTATCTGTGGAATACTTTATATGCTCGGATGGTGAGTTATTGAGAATTGAAATATTCGAGTCCACAAGTTTTTCGGTTGTCGAAGAAGCTATAATAAAATTCCCAGAAAAGTCGCGAGAACTGTTCGCCTCGGGTAATAAGAGCTCAACGAGTAGCCAGCCGGGTAAAGCATGCTGTCGACTCAACGTCCGCAAGTCAGGGGTCACAGAAGCCGATGAACCACCAATGATCAAACCGGGTGGCAAACGCTCACGAATTAATTGGTTAAGGCGCTGAAACAGACGATCAATCAACGATACGAGGAAGTCGATGCAGGCTGGGAAGCTGACTGGGGTAATGGTGTTGCAGACAAGAGGGCTTGACATGAAAGATATGGGCTTAGATTGAATGCGTTTCTAGTTCGGAATAAAAATAAGAGGAAAAGAATGAGAGAATATTCAAAATCAAAATGATGTGGAGAAAGCACTTTTCGTAAAGCAATCCGAAAGTAAAATCGGATACTACATCCCCGTTATCCTAAGTATTAATAAAAATTTTAGTTACATAAAACAAGAGGCTCTAAACTGAAATAAAAATGATACAAGTGCCTATAACTCAATCACTTGTCATAAGCCTAACAAGTGAAGAATTATCCCAAAAATGAGGTAAATTCAAGGGATAAAAAGGTAAAAATTATGAGCTTAGTCA